CGAGGCCGAGGCGGAGGCGGCAATACTAGCTGCGATCCGATCGTTGGAATACGCACTCACCCTCCGGGGAAGAGGGGTTTCAATTCGAGTCGTCCACATACAGGGAGATAATCTAGCCATTGTGGCCTACTTAGCTGGCTTCGGCCGGCTCGGTAGGGTTGGTCTAGTGCAACGCTTCTAAAGTGCATGGGACGCCCTGGCCAGGTCCCACATCCGTGTTGAGTGGGAACAAGTCCCGCGGAGTGCTAACACAGTCGCTGACTCGCTTGCTGGAGAGGCGCTTGATGCTGCTATCCTTTTGCAGTCTCAATCCCTTGTTCAAACTACTCTATACGTCAGTATTTTTGATGCCCCTGCGTCGGTCTCCCCGCCTACGGCCGGACTGTCCGCTGCGGTTTTGGCTGCGTTACAACCTTGTGCGCGACATTGGACAGGTGTACAGCTGTCCACTACACTGCAACAATTGCAGGAAAGCAGGGAGGTAATCTCGCTGCCGGAACCGGAGCCCCTGCACTTCCCCCATGTTGGTCGAGCTCTTGCGGTGTTAGGGCCTCACCACCTGCGCGGCATACGGGCTCTGCGCGATCTCTGGCAAACCTTTCCTTCGAGAACACTAGTCGCCAATACCATCGCAGCTCAACCGTTCCACAGGGCCGCTACTACTGCAGAGCCGGAATCTCACACCTTACTCGGCCTATGCGCCTTCTAGCACTCGGACCCCAATCTACCGAAATTGACCTCGTTGGCGCACACTACGAAGCATTACGCGCCTTGACCATTTCCTTGGGACAGGTCGACCTGCTTCCGCCGGTCCAACAGGCTAGGGGAATCCTGGCACGTGGCTGCCCGTCTCAAGGCCATGCTTGGGCCACACTTTCGCCCAAGAGACTTCTCAATTACACCATTAATAGTTCTGCGGCCAAAGCCATAGGGCAGCTACATCAAGGCGGCCTTTCTTTTGCCTCGGCTGCTGCGAAGAACGTTTTGTACGCCATTGATGAGGCGAAAGAGTACCTTGCCGCCAATTTACATCGACTGCAATGGTATCAGCGTGATCAGCGATCTACCTCACGCAACTGGGTTTACTTCGTGCTCGAGGCAGTCGAGGGCCGTCTAGCCCGAGCCCTACTCAGCGCCTTACTGCCTGACGTTGCACATGGGGTCGTATGGCTTCATGACGGCGTGTACGTCCGAGTCGCAGATACTGCTATCTGTGTGCCGGTACTACAACAGGCTGTCGCGGCCGAACTCGGTCAACTCCTTGGCGAGGCGACTGGCAGCGTAGCACGGCATTTGCCCAATCCGGAGGAGCTCGTACGTGTTGCTGATCTCGCCAAACCTCACCAGGAGCTCGTCGCATATCTTGCCCTCGACAGCCGCCCATCCCGTCCAATTGCCTTTACACCGCGGCGGCCCACAGTGAGTGGCCGACGAGTCCGCCCCCTTCCTGCTCCCGAGCACGCTGCCCGCCGAGCGCACCTCAAGCGCACAGCCGCTAAGGAATTGAGCGCAGCAAAGCGACATTGCGTCGGGCTCCATGCCTTCTTTCGACGAGCGGCTAGCCCGTGAGGGCCTGCATCCTCGCGCCGACCATACTTGGGTGCTGGTATCTAAACGGTGCGTGAACAGAGGGCACCCTTCCCCTCACTCCATATCGCCGTTTGTTTTAACGGCTGAGGGGCGGATCGGTTTTTGTCCTCTCCCTTTGTGGCAGGGCTAGTGTCTTATTCATTCTGGATATCCGCCTTGGCATTTTACCTGTTTTGCTGCGATGTCTTGTCATGCACCTGTTGCATTTTGGATGCATACTACGCTGCTTTTCTGGCTCGATAGGCTCTGCCTCGGGGGGTAATACTACTCTCCGCTTTGTTCGTAGTTGAACCGAGAGTAGGTACGCCATGGCTCAGCGTGAACTCACCCAAATCCGTGTTGGTAGCACCCCATCGGAGCTGTGTAGCACTTTACTCCAGGGACTGCCTAGCTGGATCGGGGACATGCCGGTTTTGGCATATGCTACGCCTCCCATTGCCATTTCAGCGGATGAAGTGTTACGCGAGGTTGGCTTAGCATTCGGCACAGCTTCCGTTTTCCTGGAGTTAAGCGATTCAGCCGGGCAGGTTATGGATGCGGTATTCTGCCCCAGCACCACTTTTGTCCGCGCCGTTCTTCCCAACCTCTCGCCTCTGCGATGGGTCATTACGGTGGACTTATATCTGGATCGGGGTGATGAGCAGGCAGCCTTGGAGGTACTGATGTATCGAGATGTCCCTCCGCTGGAGGATGAAATTTGGGATGATACACTGCGCTGCATACTGGAGGAACACTTTGCGCTACTCGCTGCCCTTATTCGGCGTGGTCGCCTCTCGGCGCATCGCTTCCTGCCGAGTCGACTGTGATGATATCGGGTATCGGGCGCCAATGGTGGCGTATGTGATCGATCTTCCATCCAGCTGTCTGGCCGCGTTACTTGCCCTACGGGCCAGTGCTAACACGCCCGACATGCGGGGGCATACGCCTCTAGCATTTGTTCTTTTGCAAGCGAAAGCAGCACTGGATCCGCCAACTGGTTACAGCCCCTTGCTTCTGGCGGTTGCCCGCGGTCATCGTATTATGGTAAATGCACTGCTCAATGCGCAAGCATGCCCTCACACAGCCGCGCGTCATGGCAGTTTACGCGGGATTTCACCTTTTGAGCTTGCTTGTCAGTGGGTGGATGAAGAAGTCCTCCGTGCCTTCCGCCTCTATGGATATGAAGTCCCTCGTGCGGCAGGTATATACCCTCCGTTGAAAACGGTGCGTTTTGCCATCAGCGGCCGCGAGATTGGACGCAGCGAGGCGGGGGAGGACCATGCCAGCCTGATCTTACATTGCCTACAATGGCCGATGGCTGGCCTAGTCGCCCATGAATCGGACGATGAAGTCTCCATCGTATACCGGTTCAGCCGGCCTTCACAGGCCTTAGGCCTCCGGCGTGCCCTGGCCAGTGGCAGTCTCGCCACGGCGATGCGCACCCTGGAACTGCACCCTTGCTTGCTGGAGCTACAGGAACCCACGGTCTGGGGCGAATTTGGCCTTCCTGTTTATTATGCTATCAGTCGCCAGCTTGGCGGCGCTCTGGCGACCTTGCTGATTGCACGAGCCTCGCCAAATGTCCCGGCCTTGAGCTCTCGCGCCCGTCCCACTGTCCCTTTACAGTATGCCATTCGTCTTGGCTCCTCTGCAGCAGTCGTCCAGCTACTAGAAGCGCAAGCTCACGTCCACTCCACGAGTGACCGCGGGTTGTCCCCCTTACATGTCGCGGCGGCGCTGCGCAGCGCCCCGCTTGTGGCATTGCTTTTAGAGTATGGAGCCGGTTTGGGAATGCAGTTGAGCGATTTGCGACCTTTAGTGGCTAGCTCGTTTTACCGCTCTGGCTACGGGCGTGACACGTGCCGTGTGGCCGCCCTTCTTCTGCGTTGTGTGGACACGGTCCCGCACCACGAGGCGGTACTTCTGGCGTCTGAGATGGTTCCCCAGCTTCTTGCTGACAGCAATTGGTTCGCTTTGTTCTGCGACCAATGCTGGGTCCAACGACATCCGGACAGCCTTTGACAGCACTCCCGAGGTCGCGGACCTCTTTTATTTCATAGTTGGCGAACACCAAAAGCCAGTGTTGCTCGCAACAATTGCCTTGATTGTTACCTTTATGTACACTTTGTTTGCATCAACTTAATTGTTGAACGGGCTGCAATACTCTTGACACGTCTGGGCTGGTAGCAGCAGCGTATCGGCTCAACATTAAGGAGGGCACGGCCGGTAGCAACGGGAAGGGGAGGGCGGAAAAGGGGGGGAGGGCCGCGGGCGCTTGAGGACTCGTCGGCACCTCAGCCAGCTTCTGTAGTTTGGCTCCTTGGCACTCTTTGACCCTTGCTTGGCTGCAAGAGAACCCCATTTCTGTCCTTTCAGTTCAATGGCGCCCCGACCCTCAGCCAAATCAAGCGCCCCGATTGGCGGACGCATCCGCTGCAAGCCGGGTAAACCCCAGGGAGGTGGAGCAGGCGCAGTCAAGCATAGCAATGCCCTGGGAGCTGTCGCTCACAAAGACTCCATTGTGTCTGGCAACCCTCAACCACCCGTGCGGTCTCCCCAGCGGCGAGCAGCAGCCCCCAACCCTACGATTGCAACAGCCCTGCTAACGTCAGCGAGGCCTTCGGAACCCGTACAGCTCATCCTGCAGGCGCCACGAGGTTCAGGTGAGCAGTCTACATCTTTTGCAGTCCGCAGCGCCAGGAAAGTCACCAGACGGCCGGCGCCCCCACGACGGGCCGAGGGCCCCGAGGCCGCCCGGCCGGAGACACATATCAATGAGCCCCTGAGGCAGCCCCCGGCGGACATGATCTTGGAGCTCCAAGGTTCGTGGTCTCTCCGGCTGCAGCCGGGAGCGTCCTTGCACATTCATACGGAAACACTTGCAACGCCAGGTACTTTGTCGGAGAGCAGTGGCTCAGCTCCGTCGGATGCTCAGCAGCCCCATGTGGGAGGTCGGCCCCGGATGGCAGGCGCCCCACTGTTACTACGGTGAGGAACAGGGATTCCCCCGGTGGGGTGCCACATGTGGCTTTGAGAGCGCCCACACTATTCTAGGCAGCGGCTGACATACGTCACCCGCCTATTTGTTAGGTTGTCCCATTGCATTGTCAGGCGCTCTGGCCTGAGCCGACGGGAGTGATGGAGGGGAGGGGGGTGTTCCATGCGCTTCTCAGGTCCGTCTTCCCATAGATCTCTGCCGGCCTTACAAGCGCAGCTGCCACTTGTCACCTGCTTCTTAGCGTTGGCGGCCGGCAATTGGTGCCGCCAGGTGGCTGCGGGGCCATCCGATGGTCGCTCGCCCCTTGGTGCCTTGACCTACTGTATGCGATTTGCCTTGCCGACTGCACCGCGCATGACTTGCCTTCATGGTAGCCCTCAGGCTAGGAGTCCAGACGTTAGCTTGCGACATACGTCGCTCGCATTTAATTTCCATGGCGGCATCTCCCACGTCCCCGGATGGACGTACAGGCAGGCAGGCCATTGCTATCAATCTTGCGGAGCTCCCTTCGGAGCCTGAGTCAGACGGAGAGCCGACGGCTTTCCCCGGGGCAGGCCCTTGGTGGCCGCCACACGGTCCCCCGGTACCGGTACCAGTCAATGAGCCGCCCGGGGAACGTATCCACAGGGAGGCCACGGACATGTTCAACCGTCTGGTCTCCCAGGAAGTCTCCTGTGCAGTTGCGGATACGCTGGCTAGACGGGGCGTTTTCATGAACCTGGCTGTCACCTGCGTCGAACCTGCTGCAGTTGCCCAGGGGTCCATGGCCATCTATGTTCGCCCACTCGCACCTCGGGAAGGCGAACACCCCTGGACTGTCTACGTGAGTCAGGACTTCGCGGACGAAGGCTCGGCGGCCGAGGAGGCCAGCGTCGCTGCTGGGCCCGGGGCGCGAGGCGATCGGTTCGTTTGCGCAATGGTCGACGCCAAGCCCGGCCTCTTGGAAGGGGGCGCTCAGTACACAGTGACGTGGATGAATCCTTGACGGCGTGCCTACAACCAAGGCGGAATCACCGGCGTGCGACGTCGCTGCCGAGAGTTCCCAGCCTGCGCCCGTCTTCTGGTTGCCCTAGCTAGGATTGCCTTCCCCGGTTTTAAGTTTACATCAGTTGGCCTTTTCCGCAACATGCAGACTGCTCTGCACAAAGACGCCAACAACTTGCCGGCATCTCGTAACGGGATCTGCGCCCTCAGTTCCTTCGAAGGAGGTCAGTTGCGTCTTCACCGTGCCGATGGGCCAGTGAACTTGTCACTCAGTGAAGGACCACTTCAGTTTGACCCCTTTCTTGAGCACGAGACACTGCCGTGGGCTAATGGTTTAAGGATTGTTTTGGTTGCCTTTTCGGTGAGCCGCCTCGAGCGCCTTACACCGGAACACCGGGCAGTGCTGACTGCATTCGACATTCCTATGCCGCTTTCTAAGGACCAGCTTGGGCCCGCATCGCAGTTCTCTCAGGACCAATCTAAGCCAGCTTCGCAGTGCCCTCAGGACGATGGAGAGGCCGGCATGTTCCTTGAATTGTTCGCCGGCACAGCCCGCTTGAGTCAGGCATTCACGCGCTTGGGTTTCCAAGCTCTGGCTTTCGATAAGGTCTGCAGGTCCAGCCATCCCGTTCAAGCACTCGATTTCGCTGATCGGTCGGAGTGTGAGGTCGTGCTGCAATTGATCCAGGACCATGCCTCTTCATTGCAGTATGTGCACATGGCACCGCCTCAGGAAACTTGCTTGGCTGCCCGGAACAAGGAATCCGCAAATAACCCGGCCCCTCCGGCCCGGTCTCCCGCGCAACCCTTAGGTCTACACGAACTGCCTGAATCGTTGCAAAGGAGAGTCGCTGAAGCCAACGACCTTTACATCTTCTGTCGTGATGTGTTCCTGCTGTGCCGGACCTTCAATATTCCAGTTAGTGTGGAGGCTCCCGCCTCCTCCCTCTTTTGGCTTCTGCCGTTCATTCAGGACCTCTTGTCAGGTGCCGATAATCACGTCGTAGATTTTCACGAGTGCATGCATGGTGGTGATCGAGATCGCAAGCTTCGATGGCTTTGCTCGGCTCCATGGTTCAAGCCCTTGGGGCTTTCGTGTAACCGCCAGCATTCGCATGCGCCCTGGAATGCAGCATCCGATGCAGGAACCAAAGGTGCCTATCCACCTCTCTTGTGCGCTAGGGTCGCCGAGCTAGTTGCTTCTCAGGTCTGCGGAATTCCTACGGCCCCATCTTTGTTCGGGCCAGCCAGCTCCGTCACACGGCTGGCTTATGAGAAACAGCCCCGTAAGCAACGGGCCTTAGTCAGTGAGTTCGGCGCTTACGATGCTTGGGCTGTGCCGCTGGGCTTAACTGCCTGTCCGCCCGCCTTGTTGAAAGCATATCCTAAAGGTGCTCGTGCTGTCCGTCGCAAGCTTTTGCATTGGGGTCAGATACGGGCTTGCGTCCTTCCTAGCCTTGATTTCGCCGTGCTTGAATCCACTTTGGGATCCAACTGGAAATGGAGTATGGACTCACATGCTCCCCCTCTCGAGGAAGGGGACCAGCCCATTTGCAAAGTTTGTGGATTCATGAGTGACTCGACCTTTGAAGATTTGTGCGAGGTACTCTGGATAGATAGGCATTCCCCGCACCCCGTCAGACTTCGTGCAGCAAGCAGTGTTGGCGGGCCACCCCAAAAGGATACTCGAGGCTCAGATCGATGAACGAACCAAGCTCCTTGTAGATAACCTTTTGACTGGACGTGCAGCCCGCGAGGATCTGGGAAAATCGCGACTGGCCGAGTGGAACGAGATCGCTAAGGAACTTGAGCCCATGGAGGAACAAGCTCGGAAATCTTTGGATCCTTTGGTGAGCAAGATCATCGATGGGAAGAGAACCTTCCTACTCGAGCGGTTGCTCGCTGACTCGTCCTTTCCAGACCAGTCCTTAGTCCCCGACCTTAGGAAGGGTTTTCCGCTGACCGGATGGATGCCTAGGACCGGGTTGTTTGTTGCCGAACCTCGCCCCCCTAGGACCAGCCTGGACAAACAGCTTAGATGTGCCTCCGCCAGGAATGCTGCCACGCTGGCCAGGGTCTCTTCTCAGCCGGTCGATGCTGTTGCTGAAAAGGCTTGGTCCGAAACACTTGAGGAACAGCAAAAAGGCTGGCTGTTTGAAGACCCGGCTCCGGACCTTTCGTCCGTCCTAGTTGCCCGAAGGTTCGGCATCATCCAAGGTGCCAAGACTAGAGTGATAGACGCCGGAAAGGCAGCCGGAATCAATCAGACCGTTGGATTGCCTGAACGTTTTAGGCTACACAACATTGATTTCATCTCAGCCTTCCTGGTCTGGGCCATGATGGACCCACGGGCTAAAGGGAAGCAGGTATCGGGGAAAACTATTGATTTAAAATGGGCGTACAAACAGTATGCTGTCGATCCCTCAGATCGAGAAATCTTCAGAATCCTTGTACTTGACACTTGCTCGAGGAAACCCAAATTCTTCGGAGCGGCAGCGCTCCCCTTCAGAACGACGGGATCCGTGGCAGGTTTTCTGTTAAACATCTTGCCAGGAACAGTAACACAGTTAGTGCAGTGCAGTTAATGTACAGGAACAGCCGTCACGCACACGCGACGTGCAAGGCTCGAGACCAGCGGACACAGTGACCCACAAGGAAAAGTGACCGCTTCAGTTTGAGAGTAGGAAGCTTAGTGAAGCCCGTTCTTTAACATGGTAGCGGAGCTGCCTCCAGGAACCTCCTTGGCAGCGATGATGCTACTCGTAGCCATAGGAACCATGATGCTCGGCGCCATGGCAGTTTGCCTCGTTGCCGGATGGAAGCAGATGCGCGCGAATGAGCAGATCACCAAGAAGACAGAGACAGTGCTCAACATGCCCACGCTCAGGATCGCAGTCCGTTCAGGAACAAAGTACCACCGCAGAGGTTGTGGACACCTTCGTAACCACAACGTGACAGCAGGAAATGCGCGAGACTTTGACGCTTGCAGCGATTGCTACCCCGACCGAGTGTTGGTGGAAGAGAAAGAGAAAAGGAACATGAAGTGCTACGGTTTGGCAGCATGTATGGTGCTGCTGGTTGGTTTCGCACTGGGAAGCCTCGCAACTTTGTGCGGGATGATCTTGGTCCCAGGAGCAGGAAGTATGGCGGTGAGACCGTGGCAGGCCCTTGGCAACAAAGTGGAGACCAAGGAAGAACTTGCCCTTGGAGACGCCTTATCCTCCAAGGAAGCGAGCCGTGGGAGAAAGGAACTACCGTACGTTGAGAGTGACGAGAGCGAGCTCATGGCAGTGTGGTCGAGCAGAAGGAAGCCCAATACGCACCCCAATACGCACCGGAACCGCTACAGGAACTATGACGTGTACGGCGAGTACTACCAGCAAGGCTACAACGAGTGCAGCGTGAACCCCGACGGCACCAACGTGAACACGATCAGGAACACGAACGCGTACACGATTAAGGACTATGTGGAGATAGGAAAAGTCATGGTACCGTACGCTTTGTTGTGCGCGAACCAAGTGATGAACGAGCTCTACAGCGTCGTTAGCGTGACCGGCGAGTACTACACGGAAGAGAACAGGAACGGCGACCAGAACACCGAGAACCAGGAGAGTGAGAGCCTTGAGTCAGGCTACGCCCCTAGGTACCTAGTAAAACAACAGCGAGAAGTACTGAGGAAAGTTGTACAGGAACATGTTCACAGTTTCGTAGAAAAGCTAGCAACCGTAGGAAAGAAGTTTCACGACGTCGTGCATGTGATAGTTCAGGAAGTCATTTCCAACAGAGTTGTATTTCAAGGAATTCGCATAGCAGTGTTCTTAGGAACCCCAATGGGACTGATTACTTGGATCACCCTGTCGTACTATTCTAGTTTGTTTTTCGCAAGAGCAAGCAACCGCTTGAAGCACCAAAGGAAGACAAGAGGAGAAAGGAGAGCACAAGCAGTGAGCAGGAAACAGTGCAAGTCACTACTTTTAGCAGCACTAGTGTACAGCAACCTTGAAGCAGCAAAAGGAATGGAGGATGCATTGAAGGCACTTGCCGAGATCAATGCACAGACCTTACAAGGAATACAGACACTAGCAGAGGAGATCAGGAACTCAGCAGCTTCAGGAAGTCAAAGAGAAGCAGGACTCACACAAGCATTCCAGGAAACCCTGACAGCAGTTCAGGAACAACAGAAGACAGCACAAACAGCGTTGGCAGACGCCCACACGAACGCAGCAACGACACTTGAGGAGATAGGAGCATCTCTGGAGAAAGCAGTAAAGGAACAAAGAAAGCCTGGAGAAGTGGAGTTGCACAAGCTGATTAAAAGCCCCGAAGCATTTTCCCCAGGAACATGGCAAGAAGAGAAGAGTGGATGGACAGAGTTCAGGAACAGGATGCGGATCTGGCTTGGAGCAGTGGATTCCAACATGGTGAAGATCATGGACATCGCAGAAAGGAACCTAAAAGATGATAAACAAGTGAAGATGGCTGAGATGTCTGCAGAAGCAAAGGAAACAAGCCGACGCCTGTACAGTGTTCTTTGTTCGTACACTAAAGGAAGGCCGTACCGAGTTGTAAAGCATGTAGCTGAGGAAAACGGTATGGAAGCTTACCGTATGCTACTCAAGGAATATCAACCAACGAATCGTGCGAGATCGTTGGAGTTGTTTCACAACATTCTCAACTACAAATTTGCTCACAACAAAGGAATTGCTGAGAATATCCTCGAATATGAGGAACACATCGAGAAGTACGAGAAGGCAACTGGAGAAAAGGTACAGGAGAATTTGAAAGTATCTACTCTTATCCAAGGTATGAAACCTGACGTGAAAAGGCACTTGTTGCTCAACATGGATGAGAAGACACAGTACAATACTCTTCGTCAGTACCTTGTGAACTATGAGTCAACCGAGCGTTGGACTAACTCTTTAGCAGCCCAGCAAGGAACACCTCACCGAACCACAACAGACTTGATCGACAAAGGTGATGACCATGGTGGTCTTGCAGCAATGGATATCAACCAAGCATGGTACAAAGGAAAGAAAGGCTATGGCAAAGGTTATGTTCACCATAAAGGCAAAGGTAAAGGAAAAGGCAAGAAAGGTGGAAAGGACTTCGGAAAAGGTTTCGGCTTTGACAGCAAAGGCAAAGGTAAAGGTAAAGGTTTCGGAGGTTTTGGCAAAGGCAGAGGTCGAGGCAACTGGAAAGGCCGAGGTAGAGGTTTCAGAGGTTACAAAGGAAAAGGCAAAGGTCGAGGAAGAGGTTTCTTCAGACACAAGGGAAAAGGTAAAGGAAAAGCCCAAGCAGCTACAGGAGTGTGTCACTACTGCCATAAGTATGGACATTTCGAAGCACAGTGTAGGCAGAAGATGCGTGACATGGGTTATCAGGCAAGGAACGTTGACCTTGAAAACCAGAGCGAGCAAGCGAGCACTACAGGTACTTCGACTCAGGCCCCTTCGTCAGCCAACAAGACCTCAACAAGCCAAAGCCAAGCAAGCCAAGGAACCCAAAGACCAGTGATTAGGATGGTCTCCATGTACCACATGGGAGACGAGCCCACAAGCTTTCCGGAGGAATTCGAGATGAGTGAGAACTCTGATGAGATAGAGATTGAGTACTTCGGAAGAGTTTTGCGGGTTGTTGGTGAAGAAGTTCAGGAAGAGAGAAGTGAGACAGAAGAGTTTTGGATTGGTGATGAAGATGATGAGTTTCAGGACTGTGATGAGGTGAGTGATGATGCATGGTTGCAATGGCACCTAGAAGGAACTCCGATAGGAACTCAGGACCGTGGATACTACTTTGAGTGTCCCAATGGATGTCATGAAACACCGTGGCACCCAGACATGCAGGAATGTGAGAACGGATGTCACCATCCTCCTAGAAGGAACAGAGTAGAGAGAACAGCACCCTCAAGGACCATTACTAGGTTTGCGCGTGCAGCGAGGAACGCGAGAACTCGAGAGATCGAGGTTGTGCTGGATTCAGGAGCCGACATTTCGTTGGCACCAATGTGGATGAAGAAGTACGGAAGGAAAGCACCCAACACTACCAAGGTAGTTTTGCGAGATGCGCAAGGATCCCGAATTAAGGTTTCAGACCAAAGGATTATTGAAGTTGAGTTTCGGGATATTCAAGGAAACATTGTGAAGGTTGAAGAAGTGTTCTTGATTTCATCGGTTGTGCACCCTCTTTTGGCAGTAGGTAAACTGTTGAAGAAAGGCTGGGAGTTCAGAGATGGAACAGCAACAGGCACTTTCCTAACAGAAGGAACAACCAAGATCGCAGTGAACTACAACAACAACTCACTTACAACAAAAGCCTTTGTGAGAGCAGTCAACTGGGAAGCAGAAGCAAAGCCTATCCCTATGTACTTGTGCGAGAACTTGAAGGAACTCATTGAAGAACAGCGTGTTGGTTGGACCAACTGGCGAGACCCTTACCAAGTCCACTTCAGCCTAGGAACCTCAGAACACGTTGATACTTACTTGATGTTTCCACCAGGAAAGTTCGCATATCGAGCAGTGCTTATTGAGGATGATGATCAGTGGTATTTGTTGCATCACAGCATCATGTTTGAGGAACTTGAAGAACCGTTTGGAACAATCTTCGATGGTAGCAAGGAGTATCGCACACTTACGCTAGTATCGCTCAAGGAATTTCCGCTGAACCTCATAGGCACCCCCAAGGAAGATGAAGATCGAAAGATGTTTG